TTACTAAATGTTTGTCTCCTTGTTTTAAATCCTTTCTGAAACAAGAAACAGTATAAATAAAGAAAAAGAAAATGTTTGACTCAGTGCCTGGTGCGCTAGACTGCAAAGCCGAGCCATGCAATCATACAGAAATTGATTGTTAAGATGGCTGGGGAAAAAAAGCAGCCGAAAACTCAAGTGATTGGTGACTGTGTGCAGCTATCTGAAGGCAGAGATGAATTTAGAGAGCAAGGAGCTCAAATGTTTGAGGGCCGTGCTCTCTGAGCTGAGCTAATGAAGCTGAGAACCTGGTTTGAGGGTGAGTGGGGGCTGTGCTGGAGCTGGGAAGTGAGGCCCCTCAACGCCTGACTTCCACTGGCACCTGTTGCTCCCTGTACCCATGGCCATGTTGGCTGCTGCCAACCTCTGAATGCTGACGAAGGCCCCCTTGGCTGTGGCCAGGTATGTAAAGCTCGTTTCATGTTCCAAGGCTCATGAGCCAACCTACATATGTCCTCTTTTCTCCTTTGTGTGTCAGTATTGGGATTTGTGCCAACTTATTTGATATACTTGTTTATTGCTGATGGGGTGTGAGCATAGGAAAAGCCAGGTCCCCTACCCATAGGAGTATCTCCTTGCCTTGAGGAGCTGGGGAGATGTTGAGAGCAGCCTCTGGCGCATCACCTGATCTGGAGACCTTTGGAAAATCATAAGCACTAATTGAATTTTAGAGCTGAACCAAAATTTCAAGATCATCTAATAAGGTTATTAATGCCTCATGTTTATATAGCACTTCATAGTTTATGAAATGACTAGATGTGACTCATGCTTCTCATTTTATATGTAGAAGCCTTTGTTTATTTAAGGAGACCCTGACAATGGGGTGATGGGGTGTTCTCCATTGTCTTCGGTGTAAGAATATGGCATTGTGATTATGTGGGAATGTTCTGATTTTTAGGAGAGGAGTAATGAAATATTTAGGGACCAAGTATCGTGATGTTTGAAACTGTAAAATGGGACAGCATTTAAGAAGATACAGCTAGGGGTTGGGGAAGGTGAGGAGTTGTTGTTTAGTGGCTACAGAGCTTCAGTTTGGGATGAGAGAGTTATGTACATGGATGGTGGTGATGAATGCACAGCAGTGTGCAGATACTTAATGCCACTGAACTGTACCCTGAAAAATCATTCGAAAGGTAACTTTCACATTGTGATGCTTTTCCACAATAAAAAATATGTAAATACATACACTGAGATAGATAAAGCAAGAATGGCAAAAATATTAATAAGTGTTGATTCTAAGTAATGAATAGAAAGGTGATTATTGTTTTTAAGGCTAGTTTAGTAGCTCTGTGTATTTGAGACTATGCGGAACATACGGGAACATAAGGAACATACAGAATAAAAGAAACTCCTAATGTGAGCAGGCCTATGGAGAAATGAACACATGGCTTTCTTTATCAGCCAAAGATTGTACCAGATATGAGTCATGGACGCCAAAGGCATGTAGAAGATTGAGACACATGATGGAGAGCAGACAACAGATATGGGTTGCTGTGTGCTTGGTTATTATTGGTCAGTTGACAGGTAAGATGGCAAAGCTGTACCAATTGTCTACTCTGAGTGGTAGAAAAGTTGTCACATGGAAGGTCCTTAGGTTGCAACATAAGACAGCTCATAGTTAAGGGTATCTGTCACAAGAGCTCTAAGTGACTCAGAGGCTGATGGTCCGTTTTCTGCCTTACACCTCCTCTAGGCCATGGCCATGCTCATGATTGAATGAAATAGATATAGAAGTTGCTGAAACTCTCATCAGTTCAATTTGGTTGGCTTTGTGCCATGCAGCCCCACTCTTGAAATCTCATCAAACTGTATATCTTCTAGGTGGGGGTCAGAATGGTCCTCTGAAAGGTGACCCCTAATGGCTTGGTTGTCCAAGGTTTGGTGAAAGTAGAACTCAGAAGGCAGGACCTGCGATCTAGTCACTCAGCCCTACCTGTCCTGTGCTCTGTTGGTCATTTGAGCCTTTCCTGGTAAAAGGAAAGAGGAGGCTCTGGCCTAGTGCTGGGACCCTCCAGATGTTCTTGACTGGAGTACGAAGGTGCCATCCATCTCACTGCTGGCAGGGCTGGAGTTAAGTTCAGAACTCAGCAAGCAGAGCCATTAATGTGGGGTCTGCCCCCCACACCACCACCACATGATGAGCTGTAATTTGCCAGGATCACTTTGTCCCCACTGTTGCTTTGCTAGACCTTCCCAGCTTCAGCCCCTCCAGGCTCTCATCCCTCCTTAGCAGACAGAAGGGCTGACTGACCCTCCCAGTGCACAAGGGAAAGGGACAGGGATTTAATTTGCATGTTCCTTTGGCGAGCATTTGCCTGGTGTCTACATTAATCACCATAAAGAATAAATGCCACCAAGAGAATGGAGCAAGCCAGAGAGAGAGAGAATGTGTGTGCCTGAGCCAGCAGTGGGGCCTAATGGGAGGAGAGCAAGCCAGTCCAGAAAAAAGATGACAAGAATGAATTCTTGGTGAGCCCTCACTCATCTCCTGAGTCTCTGGGACTTCAGTCTCTTGAAAATTGGATCTTCTTTCAAGCTATGCTTGATAGCCATATTCCAAAATAATGGAGTCTGGGGCTAAGAGAAACCAGGCTTTGAGAAGGCCTGATGCAATGTCATCATAACAGATGAGTGCCGGTGAGAGATTGGACAGACTAGGAGAGGATAGAATGTTAGAAATTATTTACTAGTTCCATTTCCTTCCTAATTTTATACAGAAGGAAACTGAGACTGGCAAGAGGAAGGGGCGTAATCAAGGCCACCCAGAGAATTAGTCCAGGGAAAGCCCCTGAATCCTAGTCTGATCCCTTTTTGTAACTCATAACACATTGCGCTGGCAAACAAAAACCCCATGAGCTGAGAATTCTTTTTCTCTCAAGCATCTTCGCAAGGTGGTGCTGACAGAAACCCAGTCTCGAAAGAGGCTTGCCCCTCCTCCCTCCCTGTCTTACCTAGCAAGGTGGTCATGCTCTAGAGTCAGGCCAAGCTCCAGTAGGTCCTCACTCTGCCTCCAGCCTGCTCCCCCTCCCTCTCCTTTGTCAGCAGAGGCTTACTGGAAAAGCCATTCTCAAATGAAGATAATGTCAGGGAAGTGCTTGTTAGTAGGTAGCCACTAGCTGACTACAGGCTCGGCCATCTCCCATGGTCCCAGTCCAAGGCCCTAGATCTTTGCTGCACCTGGCCCAACTCATCTTACCTTCTACTCTGAGCACAGGGGTGGCCAGATTCTACCCTGGGGCCTATATTTTCACTCACCCCAGCTTCCAGAGCCATATGACACTCTGTTGGGTTTCTGGGGAGGTGGAATCAGGGAGAAAACCTTGGGGCAGGAGTAGTACAGGCTTTTCAGGGTTATAGAACCTCAGAACAGGAAAGGACCTTGATATGCTCCCAATGTGTAGATAGGAAAACTGAGAATTACTGTCACAATAATATAGCCTAGTCCTCGCTTTAGAGCAGAGCATAAGGAAACAGGGTCCCCACAGAGTTTGCTGCATAGGGGTACCAACACTATTGGGCAAGGCAGTTAAATAGGTGGTTGAGTGCAGGCTCTTGGGGAAAGGAGTGGGGAGGGCCTGGGGATTACAAAAGAGATGAGAATTGCTTTCTTGACAGACTTAAACACAGTAAAAACAAAAAGTTGCAATGTTCTGGATGGGAAGAAGGACCTGGAGAATAACTCCCTCTAAAAGAAAAAGGCATCTCCATTTGGACTCACAATACAGCTCCCACGGGTCTGGTGCCCCAGCCTGGTTCACACTTGTCCCTGTCCAGAGACCCAGCCCTTCCCTCGCTTGTAAACCAGTGAAGATGGGATGCTGGTAAGGCTTTCAGCAACTCTGTTTCCTTGTGCCTCATTATGGAGAAGGAGGGGAGTGATTTGCTGCAGTTAGGGCTACCATGTATGGTTGTGCAGGTTGTGAACTGAATAAAGGTACTTAGCCTAGCCAAGGAGGTAAGTAGGGGTGGAAATCTAGTCCATGCTTTGCTGACTTTTTGCAGAGCATTTGCCCTTTTGCAGGACTGAATCCACCTGGTGAAGGGGTACGTGTTTCATCTGACAGAGCCATAACAGTTCATGGGGCTGCATTCACCCAGATGAGTAGCTTTTTTTATGCTTTTTACACAAAGGCACTGAAGAGATGACTTCTGGCTTCGGCTGCCATCCACCATGGGCTCCATGCTCCCAGGGTGACCCATCCTTAGGCTCCTAAGTTCCCCACCAAATTCTCCTCTCCGTACCTCCCCGTGTACCTCATCACCCCAGGCTTTTTGTTCTTGCCAACCACATTCAGAGCATGAGAGCAGGAAATCCAGTGAAGCAGGTCTCCTGGACCCTGGGGTCCACCTCATGACGACTCCCAGATTTCTGAGCTCTCTCAGCCCTGCATTTTCTGCCCCTGTGCTCTGCCCACCTGCTTGGCTCAGCCACCACATCTTGGATGCCTGTTCCTATCTTGATAGTCTGGTGCCAACTGTTTGTCTGAATCGTGACTCTGACTCTTGTGCCCCCTGTTTTCTGTGCCCTGCCCTCCCAGCTGCCCCTCTGTAGTCCGCTGTTGCAGCCAGAATGCATGCCCTGGGCCCGTGGGGCCCTGATGTGGGAGCAGGGTTGGGGCGCTCTCCTGGAGCACATCAGTTTGCTCTTGTGCGCTACCTGTGATCTGGATGGAGGCCTCCTGTTGGTGCTTTTCACTGTGACAGAACGGACCTTGCTGAGTGGGGAGGGGGTGGTGACAGTGGCCAGGGGCTCTTGGCTGGAGTACTTTGTCGTGTCTCTGTAGTATTTGGTCATGACCCTACCAGGTACTCAGCCTGTCCTCCCTGGGCTGCCAGGGAGGAGCTGTGGCAGGACCAGGATCTGGCTGTGGTACGAAGGGGAGGAGGACAGGTTGGTCCTTGGGATTAGAGTAGCTCCTTCTGGCCATGCTTAAAGCACCCCTTCCCCCACTTCCTGACAGCTGAGGCCCATGTCTTCCAAATGAGCTCACGGGGCCCTCCCAGAGGCCAGTGGATTATGATGCCAGATGGGCCTGAAGCAAACCATCCAGCTGAGTGCTGCTGCAGAAGAAAGGAGCCTCAGGTCAGGACCAGCACTGGGCCATCCAGAGGAGAGGCGACCGGGAAGGAGCTGGGTTCCTTAAACCTCTCCTCTCTGACAGGTAGGCCAGCATTCTCAGTTGAGCCCCTTCAAGTGAGGACTAGCAAAAGCCCTTGGATCAAGAAGAATGTGAAGGGAACAGCTAAGCGTTTTCCCTCCCTGCCTTTTCGAAACCTCTACAAATCCCAGAGCTGGAAGGAGCCCAGGAGTGGGAGAACAGGCGGGGAAAGAAAGCAGAGGGCCTGCCATCAGTCTCCTGCCCTAACAAGCTGGTCATCGCTGGCTCCAGCTGGCTCCCCTGGGATAGAGGGGAGCTGGGAGTGGGTCCTGGTCAGTGGGAGCAGGGGATTGAGATGGGATGCAGTCACAGTTGGGAACTGCATCTTAGAGCCAGGACAAGGCCAGGGCAGAAGCCTGGGGTGCCCATTGAGGGGTACAGAAAGGCCCAGCGGGCTGAGGTCCTTTAGGGAGTGTACAGACCAGAGTAAGTCCAACTCCAAATGGATACTGGAAAAGGAGCCAAGCTTCATAGAGTCCAACAACAACAGCCCCTCTGCTGCCTCTCAGGTAATAGAAGCTTCTGGTTTCCCCAGGGGCCTGCTTCACCACCACCCTCTACCTCCAGGATCTCTCACAACTCAGTCCCCCCACCAGAGGTGGCTGCAAATCCTGAAGGATATGGTTAGCTAATTCAGAAGGCCAAGAATCTGGTCATGCCAAGAGATGAGGATTAAAAAGGGGAGTAAACCCCAGATCAGTTTGCTTTTAGTCAGAAATATCTGTTCCCGGTTCTTTAAACTCTCTTGGAAAGAACCACACACCCTGGAAGAATGTTCCAGTTTAGTCATGCCAGTGGGCTAAGCCAACCAAGTAAGTCGGTGAGGGGGAAGGAAAGGGGAAGGTGCCCTGGGAATGAAGAGTTTGGTGCTCCATGGAACTTGGGTTCCTCTGCTGGGGAGGCAGTTCTTCGGGAAGCTGGCTGGTCTTTGCAGGGGCCCCACTGCAGGAATTTGTCAGTTGGGGTTTTGGAGGTGGTGGGGGGAGGAGGGAAGATGGGGGAAGGCAGGGGAAAAGGTTGAGGCAGAGGAGAGAGTTCCCAAGCAAGCATCTCTGAGCTTTGGAGAAGGATCCCAGGTCAAATTAAATGTGTAGATGTTGTGGCTCAGATGTCGTGGCTGTTTTTTTTGTTCAATAACATTAGAAAATAGGCAGCTTCCTTCCTAGGTTTAATTGGTTCGCTAGGTTTTAAAAAGCACCCAAGTTCTATGTTCAATGAGAAAGAAATCTGAGTTCTATGAGGGAAGGGGTTCAGCGAATGAACAGGTTTCATTCAGATTTAGAGTTTGCAGTCTGCTCAGTTCAAGCTCCTGCCCCTGAGTAAGTTATCCAGTGAGATGGGAGCTGTGACCATGGCCCACTGGTAGCCTCTGGGCCCTCAGGCTCTTGGAGGGCAGGAACAAGGGGTGAAGGAGTACAGGGGAAAGAGAACTGTTCCTCCTTGGTTCCATCCTGCCTAATGGTTTTCCCACTGAAGAGCACTCATTTGTCACATTTAGCTTCAGGAGGTATGACAGGATGATCCATCCCTCAGGCCGAGGCCTATAAAAACCAGGAAATTGGCACCTGCAATCTGCCATTCTCTGCTTTTGCCTTCTCTGGCTGCAGCTAAACTGCTGCTAAAATGCTGACTGCTGCCTTGCTGTGATGGAGAGAGCTTTTAACAGGGTAGCTTGGCCTGTGAAACTTCTTTGATTCAGAGCCACATAAAATGCTGGAGGGGTGAAGAGCTTAGAAGGGCCAGTAGATGACTGGGGAAGAAGACCCTTGTGGCAGGATGTGAGGAGAGCTCCATGAGGCTGGTGTGTGCCTGGACCTTCCCTGGGTGCTACCTCCAGTCACACCCAAAGAATGGGCCCAGCTGTTCCAGACATTTCCCAGACATGGATCTCCAGTAACTGGCTTCATGGGTAGCCATCTCCGCCCATGGTGTGCTTTGAGAACCTCCGCAGGTCCATTCCTACCACAAAATATGCTCTCTGTGCTTTTGCCACCCCTGAAAATTATTGCTGTGGGGTAAGGCATTGTCCTTTGAAGACCCTTTTTAAAATGTGCATTTTTTTTTTGTCTGAGATAAGTCTCATATATCAGATGTGTGGGCTTTTACCTGTTAAAAGCAGGTACACAAAGAAATGGGATCCAGGGCAAGTGATGCTCAATGGGGGAGAGAGGATATGTTTGCAGCGAGGTGAAGCATAATGGGCTAGCTGAGTTGGGAGTCATAACTCCCTGGGCAGAGAGGGAGGACTGGGCAGACAAAGGGGATTCAAACAACTGGCATCAGTTGTCCCTATAATCCGGGTGTCCATGTGTGCTCCCCTACCTTGAAGATGGAGATAAGATTCCTTCAAAATCAATGCCCCCCCACCAGATTGCTGCATGCCCAGGGACAACCCTCCCTTCCTGGTCCCCGGCCCCAGGCTATAGGCACCTGGTTCTCCTGAAAGAGTTCATCTACACCAGTGGTACGAAACCTTGGCTGCTTCTTCAGAATCACTTGGGGAGCTCTTAGAAACATTAATGCCAGACCCCACCCCAGACTAATTACATTAGAATCTCTGAGGAGAGGCCCCTGGGGGCACCTCAGTGTTTAAAAGCTCCCTCAGGTGATCCTAATATGCAGAGACGTCAAGAAGCGCCCAAGGGCTGATTTAGACATTCCGCATGTTGCAACTTTTCATGTCAATCCAAATGTGGAGCTTGGCCCTCTTCATTAATCCCAACCAAATAACTAGTCGCCCAAGGAATTGTGTGTAGGAGGCTTTGGGGTGAAAGAAGAATTTAGCACTCAGCAACACAAACTTAAAATGGAAAGTTAGGAATCCTGAGTCATTTCCCCAGTCTGGCTCTGGCCTCCCATGGTGTTCCCCAGTTCCTCTCTGGCCTCCATCTACTGCCCTCTCTGTGTTCCCCCACAACTCGAAAGTTCTGTTTGTTTTCACCACCCAGCCTTACGCGCTTTCCTCCGTTGCCGTGGCTTCTGCCTACCCATGCTGTCAAGGCAAGCAGCTTATCAAAATCTTTTCCCAAAGACAGTCCTAGTTCTCTCCTTAAGAGGGAATCTGGTGCCAGTCGGTAAGATGATTGAAACTTCACCCCAGATCCATATGGTTTTGACAAGGACCCTGGATGGCCTCATTGTCATATCTCCATTGGCTCTGAGAACCATCACAGACGCAGGCCCTGCTATTTCCATCCAAAGAAGTAGGGCCGACATCTTGCAGGGGAGGCCCAAAGCTGGCAAAGCATTTGAAGACTGACTGTCTGTGTATCCACTTGAGAGAGTCTTTGTGTACTTGTGGGTGTTTAGCCCTTATGGCTAATATGCAAATTTGGCCCGTTTGCAGACTGACAGGACTTCCCCAAGTGCAGAAAAAAATGTCCTTGATTCATGACCTAAAATAATACAGACTGTTGCTACAAAACTGCTTTGAGATGAAAACATGACATTTTATTCGCTGGGTGTTTATTGGGGATGTCAGATGCCAGCCACTGGGCTGTGCTTTGGATTTGATGGTGACCCAACCTGCATGCCGGCTACTTACAGCCTAGTGGGTTTTAGTAAGCTCCTTTTGGAGCTCCTCTTCTTGAACTAAAAAGCACTATTTTTATTAAAAAAAAAAAAACACTAAGCTCTGAGTCAGGAATTTCTGTGCACTGGAAATTCTCTTCAGCACACAGGTGGGTTTCTATATATGGGCCTGAACACATGATTTCCTTTTTTATGTGTATGAAGTGGCAATGTTTAAAAGGCATGCGGTGTATATGTAAGACTTTTATTGGCCTGTCTGTGATTCTGTTGGGGGAGCGTTGAGTATTTTCCTCTGTCCTTGTCTCGCCACAACAAAGAATTGAAGGGCAGAGACACAGTAGTGAAGCCGAGTAAAAGTTTTATTATTTAAAGTGATTTAAAGAGAGAAAAAGTACAGACCACCTCAGTGAGGAGAGGTGCCCTGAAAGGTTGGAGAAAGAAAGTTTAAGATTAAAAGGTTATGCACTGAAAGGTTGGGAAAAGTTAAAGTTTCCCACTCAGAAAGTGTGGGTGTCCTCAGAGAGAGGAGTGCCCCAAAAGGTTGGAGGTTCCCCCTTTTAAGGATTCTTCAGAAATGTGATTAAGGCCTGAGGGTACAGACCTGTTAAGTGGTCTTTGAATACTTAGAATTAACACAGGGACTTCCTGCTCTGATTTCTCTGGAGTGTTGATTCCACAGCATATCAAACATGGCTGCCTGCCTAGCCCCCAAGTAGAATTATCATCCCCATTTTACAACTGGGAAAACTGCTCACCTGCTATTTGGTAGCAGAACCGGATTCAACCCCAGGGCTGTCTGACTCCAGAGCCTTTCAAAGTTCACCACCTCCTGATGCCAGATGCCAAAGCAGGGCTGAGGGAAAGCAAGCTCCTTCATCATCAGTAACATCATCATCACTGTCGTCACGTGGTCATTATCGTCCTCTTATCATATCAGCAGTCATTTGTCAGCCACTTTCTTTGTGCCAAGCACTGCATTAAAATGCTTTTAATAATAATAAAGAGAATAATACTAATAAGTTAACAGTTATTGCATTCTTATGTGTCAGGCACTCCCCTAACCATCTCACAAGGATCACCCTGATCATTCCATACCATGTTGCTATGAGATAGATCCTATTCTTAGCCTTGCTTTAGAGAAGAGCAGATGAAGGTTTAGGCAGGCTAATTTACCTGCCATGACCTCACAGCTAGCACATAGCAGAGCTGGGGTGTGGCCTCCAACAGCCTCCAGACTGCTGCCTCCCAGGTCAGGGGTTCCCATCTCTCCCTTTTTTCCAGTTTGGGAGCACTGTCTGCCACTGGCTTCTGGTGACTGGAGAGCTCTCTTGGGCCCATCTGCTAACTGTGCTAGTTGCTGGAGTGGCAGGCCACTGTGGCCGTGAGCAGATGCCCTCCTACGTGAACTGGCAACCCCTTTCCATCTTGCAGCCAATGCCATGAGAATGAGAAATCTACCCAGAGGGCCTCCT